GTATGACAGCGGATGTTGGGCGAACCTTAGCTTCTTCATTTTTGGCGAGAAAGTGGCTGAGCCTTCTAAGTCCAAGTTTTTGTTTTATGCTGCGGAGGTTTGGGAACGAATATGGTGTTTGGCGATGGCTCAGAATTTCCCAACAGGCGGATCCACTTTTAAAGTAACTCTTGAACTAGTAAATACTATGAGTGCGTAAGTTTTTTTTTACTTGGAAAGCAGGGGAGATTCTTCTTCTAGAGCTGTTTTTGTTTCGTGTCGCGCTCCGCAATGAATGAAAAGTCATTGTTGTTCAAGGCCAATGTACAAATCTGCATACTCCTCACGCCAGATTCCCTAAAAACTCCCATCGATGATATTTCTTTTAATGGGAACAAGGCATGAATAATGTTTAAGCATTTACTGAAACCTCTGTGTTTAGCTGCTTTGCTTATCTTCTTCTTTCCAGATCTTCTGACTTCTTCTTTCTTTGCATACTTTTTTACGTACTAAGATTTATGGCTTATTGAGAAAGGTTAAAACGCCGATCTGCTCCCGACTCTTGGGCCCGTGGTGCAATCGCAACTGTCGCGGACGCTAACCTAGGAAGCTCCGCTTTTATTTGACGTTCAGACGCCTCTGTCGTAGGGTAGTTTCTGTTGCCGCAAGCATGTAAGGATATACTGTTTGCCGCAGTTGAAAAATACGTGGAACGCGACCGGCTTGCGGCGAGCCACCGCCCGCCCACTATTCACAGCAACAGGCCAAAGTTTCTTTCAAGGGCTCTCGTCGCGTTTTTTCTTCCTTATCTTATTTACCATCCTTTCATTAAATACTTGCGCCTGGAAAATCACCATTTTAGAACGCCGGTCCGTGCCTTTAAGTCCTGTTGATAAGTTCGCGGCGGTCGCGACTAGCGGGCGCGAGGAGCATAAGACGGGGTGGGTTGTAAGTTGCAGTCATCTATTATTTCTGAAAACCTAATTTCGAAAGTAAGAGCAGATGGATTCATAGAAACGAAGAGTAACCGAGTGAAAAGATTTTACAGCACATTGGCCAATGGGAAAGGGCTCTCATTTTCTTTTCCTCCAGTTCTCCTATGCTCCTGATACAAAATAGAAACAGCTCAGTGTCTGTCCACTTCTATTTTTAGTTTTTCTCTCATCTATCCACAAGCAGATCAATGATGATTCCAGTTCAATGAGATTTCTTATCTCATTATTTTCTTCAGCGTCCGTGAACACTGAACGCTTCTAAAGGCTCTCTTTTAGAATACCCTTCACAAAGCGCCTCTTGGCTATTTTTCCGACCAGACGCCTGTTATCCAGCATCAACATCATCTCTTCGATCACTCACACTGTTTTGTTTATATTATCCCATCCTCAGAATACGTCTTTGAATGACCTTTTGGAAATAACAGCACTTCCAACTTGAAGCGTCCCGTGTGGGATTTCACAAGCCACTGCGATCCGCTGGCATGCGTTGAGCTTATCTGGTGTAAGCCTACTTTACGGTTTTTGAGGCGTTATTGTAGTGCTTAGGGCGCTGGAATATCGCCAATAGTTCGGCATTGAAGATTCGCAACAAATACCGTCATTTCAGCAGGACTCATTCTGGCATATCCATATATCCGGTGTTGCTACATGGGAGTTGGTAAATTTTTTAATGACGCTGTCGGGGAATCGACCTGAGTTCTAGGGTTCACATACTTCAGCTCTTGTACTGTATTATATAATTGTGTGACATCCTGGTTAACGTGTTTTTTCACACATTACATTGATTTTGATATCAAGTGTACGCATACCTGGCTCGCGAAAATTATGTTGGTGCTAGGCAAACTCTCGAGGCTTTTCCTGGATAAGCAACGTAATCCATCTATGACAACAGGAAATGAGTGCATCTCAGTGACTAGCCGATTTCTTGCCCTCACATCCAACTTTGCGGCTTTAAACAGTGAGATCGTAATGCACTCGCACGTACGCACTTTATACACTATGAGCATAGCAGTGAGTCTCATTTGGCTCCATTGTGTGACAAAAAGTGGAGCAGTTCGGGTGGTGAAGTGAAAAGCTTAACTTTGGCTGAATTTCCTTACGTTCTTTTAGTTGTCCTTACCCTGATTGCAACTAGTTAAGAGCGGGCCTATGTTGCATAGGATAGAAAGTTTTCCAAAGTTTTCGGTATGCGTTCCAGGCCTTTGAAATACGACGAGATTGTCGAAACGTCAGGCGCTAAATAACAGCATTCCACATACAAACGTGTTTGGCATAAAAAGAAGTATTAGAACTATAAAGTACCAAATGTCCTAGGTTACATAGATAGGTGACATGGAATTCCACATTAGTTTTTCCACAGCAGAGCTTTCTGCTTCCACGCTCCTTCGACAAGGCACTACGCCAGGCACGCCATGAATCATTTCCTTGTAAAAATACGACCCCCGTCATTCCATCCTCAAATATGACACCCCCCCTTCCCATGCTACTACCTCTACAATCCCGCCCCTAATTTTTGAAAAAAAGGCGGATTAATCGCCCACAAGCGCCGCAAACGCCGGCAAACCCATTGTTATAACTCGCCTAAAAGGAGCTAAAATGAAAAGCCAGGCATAGCCTTAGGATTCGCCTCTACGTGGGAATCCAACGGTACAGAACACACGCCGTAATTGTTCGAAAACGAATGGAAATAGACGCAAATACCGCGTTTTTCTCGCCTTTTTTGACATTTTTTTTTGCTATAGACTTTGAATGTATGAACTGTTCTCATACAGAACCTCTATACTGTTAGACTCGCTCTTCGAGATCTATAATCTGCATCCTGAAAAACTGAAAAGTCGAAAAGTGGAACTCGTGCTTCCTATCGAAGTACCGTGAGGACACTCGTTACCGAGCGGACTCTCGCTATGATTGTATACCGGAGGAAACGTTGGGAAAATTAAATTAATTCTGGAATCAAAACAACGGTACTGTATCGCGTGAGAAGGATAATAATTGGATAGTTGTGTTAACACAAATCGCTGTGATCATTTTGGTGGCCAATTTTTCCTGGAAATTTGAAGTCTTTCGCTCCGCTTCACTTTTCGGGCGATATATGCCTTTTAGTCGGGAATTCACAAGCACTGTTCAATCGGACCACATGAGCCGACGGGCCTAATGTACTGGAGTCCTTGCTTTTCTACGTTTCGCGATATCAAGAAGCGAATTCAGAAAGAAGGGTTTTCAACGTCCTTGATATGGGCACTTTCGTGCGATATACTAGAAACTAATGGCTCGATTTTCAGCGTTTTCGGGCGACATTTCTGGAGGCTCCTGAGTGTCTGAATAAGTTTACAGTACGTCTTGTGCTTTTCACAAATCTGGTGGAACAAGTGGCATATTTCAGGAAGGTTTGTTGTTATTGGGTGCAACTTCAGACAATTCACACAGCTAATCTTTCAAGTTCTTTTCATATGAAGAAAATTTCAACTCAAAGTACAGTCATTC